AAACCCAGATTTGCTTGATGCTGGTCCACACACACTGCGTTTAAAGTGCAAGTGACGTGTGTGTGTTGTCCAAAGCCTGAGGCTGCACGATCATAACATCTGAGTTTATCCCTGCGTCAACAGAGAAATACTGATTGTGGGGGAGGGAGAAAGGGAAAGAAAACAGGGGTCTATTTGCATTAAATGAGTCAACATGTCAGTGTGAAAAGTACAATCCGTTCCTATTCTTACTCTCCGCCTCCAGACACAAATATGGGATCTATTTTTAGCTATATCAGTTACACACCAACACAAAGAGACCCCCCACCTTTTTCTCTCTCCAGTTCGTTATCAATGGGAGCCCACTTGCTGCCAAACTCATCCACTGCACACAGAGCGAAGGCCAGGCCTGGTCAAGTTACTGAAGTGGCTCTACAGTGGGCAATTTTTCTCTCTTTACCTAAAGTGTCTGAATGTATGGCACACAAATCAGAGCGCTGATCCAGCATGCACCTCATCTGTGCTGTGTGGATGGAAAAGAGTCAAAGATACAACTGTGCACCCTCTGCCCACACAGCAGCTTGAGGGATTGACTTAAGAAAACAAAAAGGTTCTAAAAAGTTTGTCTAAACTTCTAAACTGATTCCTTTCACTCCACTGAAGTCTTGTACTAATTACCGTCACCTGTTGACACACACTCCAGTGTTAACGAGCAGCGTCAGTGCTGCCTTCAAAGACCTGCAGTGTGTATGGTGACCAGCAGCACCACACTTTAAACAAAACAACTCCTGCCAAAACATCAGAGGGTAATGTAACACCCTCTTGTAGAGAAGCTTCTCTCCTTTGATTATGTGTCACAGCTGACAACAAGGAGGCCTGTTTTGATATTTCCTTCTGTCTGTCTGTCGTTCACACAGCCAGCCAGCATGTTAGGCTAATTGGACACATGCACTAGAAGCTCTGTTGTGTTGTTCCTGGTTTGGCTTTCATTATGTATTCATGGTATCTGGTGTGTTTGTGAGGCAATTGCAGAGGAGCCCAAGTAAAAAAAAAAAGTACTGAACTGAGGGAATCTTGATTTAGAAGAAGCGTCTTAAATTAAGCTACAATGCTTGATTTGACTTGTTGTAAATCTGGCACATTTCTGTTCAAAGCCACCTCTTTCCAACAGCTCTGCCACTTTTAATTCTTATAAACTGCACATATGCTGTGCTCTGCATATCTTACCATTAAAGAGGGTTCCATCCCTCCAAATATATCTATCTATCTATCTATCTATCTATCTATCTATCTATCTATCTATCTATCCATCCATCTATATTTTATTTTCTAAGTAAATTGTCATGTTCCTATTCTTGTATGTTGTTTATTTCTTGCTAACCTTTTATTGATTTTCTTTCTTTATATTATAAAATGTATAATATTTTTTTAAATAGTTCCTTATTTGCTCCTTTTCAACAACTTAATTCCTCTTATTGTTTTTATTCCTACATGATTATACACCTAAGCAAATGTGTTGTAGTTGTAAACCTATTAAGCAATTAGCCTGTTTCCTATTTTTGATTCTTACAGGTTAGTGCAGACAGAGCAATGTCAAGTGTACTGCTATCATTTAGATTTATTTTAAATATCTCCTGGCATTGTACTATGTTTGAATGTAATCTATTCTTCTCAGTGAGTACAAATCAGCTATTCATATTGTGAATAGATCATACAAATACCAAAATGTGTGCAGTGCGTGTGTAGTTGATCAAATGTCAACACTTTAGATGCGGAGATTTTGAATGACAAACTTTAGGTTATGATTTTATCCGATAATTGATATGTGTAGTACTTTAGTTACATATGTTTTCTGATGTGACCATTTGTCATCCAGTCAGAAACTAACTTAATATATTTTGTGGAGTAAATGTCACCCATTATTTTCTCTTGAGTATTATGCCAACCTCAGCTTCTTGTGTAAGTAGATCTGTATTAAGAAGAAAAGGCCATGCAACAATAAAGAGACCAACAATGTCTTTGATCTCTGGCCATCTCATCTTCTATCTCTGATTAAATTGTATTGTAAATAAATGTAAAGACACTCCTCTGATTATTAAACCTGTATGACTATTGGTTGTATCACTTAAACTCAAAAACAAGGCATAAATAACTTGTCTTGATGTTTTAAAAAACTCTGAAGCCTTGCTGCCACCAAATGGACAGAAACAGTTATTACACATTCAGGATTATATTGTCATAGTGTTGTAAAGGAGGACAATTACCAGAGGTTAGTAGGATTTTAATGATAGATTTCAAAACAGGTCAAAATGTTACAATTAGATGTTTTAAATAAACTCGTCAGAGTATAATATTTAGCCAAAAATATGTATTATGTTAAAGTGGACCTATCATGCTATATTTGAATAATATAGTGTAGGACCATATCTACATAAGGCATATTTATACTTTTTATTTTTCAAAATACCAAACAGATCATGCATTTTAGCCATTCCTCATTTCGCTCAATTTAACACTGTCTTTGCATGGGCTGATTCTGTGAGAACAGCACCATCTACAGGCCTGGCATATGTACTACAGCGTCTCCAGCGCTTTCTAACGGCAATGTCCGTGGCTGTCTCCTCCTGATTGGTGGAGTTGGCCCAATAGCCGTAGCGCCACTTCTGTGACGTCAGAGAAGTGTTCAAATCTGGATCAGTCTGCATCAGATCCGTTGCAGCCCCTTTTTAAGAGATTTGGGTATGGAGGAAAATAGAGAGGGTTGTGTTTTCTGACACTTGGTGAGTTCCCTGGAACACCGGGGACACATATTCATGTATAAAAGACGTACAAAAGTGCATTTTGCATGATAGGTCACCTTTTAAATATGTGAATATGTCTACGTTGCGGCGAAAGGACTTGACTTACCTGCAGCTATCGTTCACAATCTCTAAAAAAGCCAATGCTTTTAGAATGAGTACTTTGATACATTTATTGTAAATTAAATTCTTCAGTTTTCATTTAACTATTCATCCTGCTATTCTGCTGTCTACATTTGTTTACTTTCTCTTTATTTTTCAGGATTTTGCTGGGTGTTTCTCAGATTGAATAATCAAGTATTAAACATGCACACAAAAAAAATAGCATGTTATATAAAATATTCCATAACGTAAGCATTTAAGCCTACATGTAAGCATTACCAGTGCTTGTAAAAATAAACCCCTGAATAAAATCAAATGTGAGCTATCATGCAAAATGCACTTTTGTACGTCTTTTATACATGAATATGTATCCCCGATGTGTCAGGGAACTCACCAAGTCTCAGAAAACACAACCCTCTCTCTTTTCCTCCATACCCAAATCTCTAAAAACGGGGCTGCAACGGAGGTCCCCGAGCTAAGTAACACCGTTTACTCGACGTCGACTGGTGCGGTGGGGACGTTTTTCCTCCCCCGCTCCGTGCTCAGCCAAGTACAATGGTACGACAATGGTACGCCCCCCCCTGTTTGCCCGTTGGGAGAGTAAGGGGGACTATCCACCTTCTCAACGGGGCATATATCCCGCCTGCGTGGGGGCAAAGACTGCAAGTCTGTTAAGTTTATTATGTAGGTCG